AACGACGACGACGACGACGACGTACGACGTAGACTACGTACTACTACTACTACTACGTACTACTACTACTACTACTACTACTACTACGAACGTAACGAACGTAACTACTCTCTCTCTCTCTCTCTCTCTCTCTCTCTCTCTCTCTCTCTCTCTCTCTCTCACCCCAAACGCCACAATATAAAAGCTTTTTCATCAGAATGGAACCCACAATTTCCATCAGTTCCCTCTCTTTATCATTAACCATTACAATAAAAAGCACCAATCTATGAAAATAACATGATATATAAAGGAAGGAATATCGAGACACCAAGAACTTATCAAGCATTTGCATCATGGAATCAATGACACAACGCTGAGTCACAGATTAAACCTCCAAATAGGTGGTCACAAATTTACAGATCAAATGAGCTCTCAAAAATATTGTTCCACAGGTCAAATTTTGATAGATGGAACTTCATCTTTTTGAGCCTATTAATTTCCAAATTGAGTGGAAAATGCAAACAAAAATCCAAAAATTAAAAAGGTTTCAAGCTTTGGAGAAATCCATCCAGTAGAAAGAGAGAGAACTATAAAGTTTTCACTTTTCATCTAGATAGAGAGTACTATAATTTTTTAATGCCCAGGAAAAACCCAAAAGTTTCAATTTTTCGAAATACTCATTTAAAAGAGAGGGAGAGAAAAGAATGAAATGTAAATTCCTAATCGGTCCGGAGCCATAAACAACCCAAAACTTCCAATTTCTAGAGATACCATCCAGGAGAGAGAGAGAGGGAGAGGAATGCACAATAATTTCCTACAAATAACTAAATATCAAAAACTCAGAAGCTCCAATCCTTAATAAACCCCATCCAGAAGATAGAGAGAGAGGGAGAGAAATGCACAATAATTTCCTACAAATAACTAAATATAAAAAACTCAGAAGCTCCAATCGTTAATAAACCCCATCCAGAAGATAGAGAGAGAATGAGTAATTCACTGTAATTTCCAAATAATACAGACCTAAGGAAAACCCAAAGTTTCAACCATTATAGCTACCCACCCATGAGCTAGAGAGACAAGAATGTACCCACTGTGCAAAAACCACCAATGCCCCAAAAATTTCAAATACACATACCCATCAAGGAGAAAGGAAGAGAGAGAGAGTTTACATTCAAGAGAGAGAAGCATTGAATCAAACCTGCATGTTAGAGAGAAGCACAGGGGAGTCAAGCATGGCGGATGGGCTCAAGATGGGTGGGCATGAGGAGCGCCCAATGGGGAGATTTGCAGGCGAAAGAGCCTTGTATCGAGCTGTGCTCAAACCTCCAAGCCCTCTGCTCCCGAGCCCACCATGACCCACTCTCTGCAAATTCCCATCTCTCTCTTCTTCTCTCTCCTCCTTTTTATCTTCTCTATGATGGGATTGCTCCTCTGGTTCAGAGCTTGGGGACCTTTCTCCCTCATCCTCTCTCTCTCTTTCTTGTTCCAAGTGGGTCGCCATTAGAGTTAAGAGAGAGAAAAAGAGGGGTTTTTTAGCCAATTTATAGGAGGCGCGAGGGTGGGGTTTGGGCAAACATTTAATGGCGTTTTGAGGGTTGTGTGTTTTTGTTGCATGTCAGGGTCGGACGCAGTTGACTTGCTTAACACCGTAATTATTAATTAAGAGAGAGAAAGACGAAGTGCTATAATGATGTAGAGAGAGAAATATCCTAGTAGAGAGATATGGTAGGAGAGATGCAGTGATGGAGAAGAGTTCATGAACAGGAAAATAATAAATTTAGAGAGAGAAAGTTGCTACGATGGGGTGGAGAGATGTGTCCACGAAAGATATTAAGCCAAGGTAGATTTCGCATCTCTAGGAGTGGCAATGGGATCGGAGGCCTGCCCTATCCCCTCGGGTCCGGTCGGGTCGGGTCGAACTAGATTCAAATTCACCTAATTCAGACTCGGGTCTGAAAATATTGCGTGGGACCTAGACCTAAACCCATTAAGATCCAAACCTAGACTCAAACCCAGACCTAGACCCGTTTGGATCCAAACCCAGAACCAGACCCAGACCCAGACCCAAACCTAGACCCGATTGGATCCAAACCAAGACCCGATCGGATCTGAAAATATAGTGCTTGGTGCAAGATTTGGACCCAAACCCGGCCTATCGAAATCAATTTTTAAACCTATACCTGGACCCAGATTGGGTCTACCCTTTAGGTCTTAGTTTTTGGGTCGGATCCGGTCCCTTGCCACCCTTATTTAGCTCAATCGGCCCGGCCATAAAAAAAAAAAATAGGTATGGGCCACAAATTGTTGCTTAAGGGTTGGGCTAGGATCAATATCGGCTGATTCAGCCTTATTTTCTCTTTTAATTTTAATTTTATTTTATTTTAGCCTAACCTAGCATTAATAGGCATGAGCCAGCCTTATAGGGACAAGGGCCCCTATAAGGACATAGCCAAGGCCGGGCTAGGGCTAGGGCTAGGGCTAGGGCTAGGGCTAAGGCAGGCTTGCCACCGTGCAGGAGTAGAGAAGAGAGTGTGCAAATGTGCAGGTCATGATAAATTTAGTAACGGATGAGAAAAAGATCATGAAAGAGGGGAGACAAGTGATAGTGAAAGGGGGATTCGAGGAAAGAAAAAAGAGAAAATCTACTTCTTACCTCTAAACTCAAAAAAGGTATGAAAGGGAAAAGATAAAATCACACACAATGAACTACCAAAAAAATAGAATTCCATAATGTACGATGAAAAGAGAGGAGAGAGAAAACAAAAGACATATGCCTATAGAGAGAAATCGATTAATTTGACAAGAGAGGAGAGAGAAAGCATCACGGGTAGAGAGAGAGAGAGGAGAGAGAAACGGTCTAATTCGAAGTAGGAAAGACGTGAATGAGAGAGAGGAGATTTCCTTCGCACACATCTAGAGAGAGAGTAACGTAGAGAGAGAGAGCGCGTATTGCTAACTCCTAGAATGGTAGAGAGAGAAAGTTACCCAGGACCACGTGTGCGCACAATGTGCGTCTCGGTCTTTTAGAGAGAGAAAGAAGGGTTGTTTGGCGTGAGAGGCAAATCACATTATCAACATGGGGTCCATCCCTTTGAAAACTTTCCTCGAGTACCCTACCTAAGGTCATTAGTTGATAATTACGTTTTTATTAAGTTGTTAATTAGGTAAAGTACTTTATCATTTTAATATGGGAAAATATGTATGGTTCATAGTTGCATCTTAGAATTATAGTGCATTTCAAAACTCCTTCGGAAAAAGCTATTTTGATATTGAAAATTTATATTATTGATCATAGATGTATGAATACGGAAAAATATTTTACATCTTAAAAATAGTAAATTTTACAATACATTATATGGACTGTTCATTTTCAATATTTTCATTAATTTATAGATCTGTTTGATTTGAACTTTTTTTTTTTTTTTTATAATGTTAACTTGATTGGAAGCATTTTGGAGTTTAAAATGTTATAATTAGATATGAAAAGAGATTTTCGAGCCATCGCTAAGTTTTCGATACCAAAATTGCATCTCATGGCAAAGTTTGGAGTCATGCTTTAATTTGATTGTTTACTGTTACAACCTTATGTGAGCCTCACAATTTTAATATTTTTTTAAAACCTTTTCCAATAGCTATGGCGAGATATTAACTATTCAACATTTTTCCATTTTGTAATGGACATGGTTTTATGAATCAGCTACCTCATATGTAGATATGTGCCTTCTCTATATTCATTTTTTAGATGGATTTTGAATTTAATTTTGTTGGATTATCGATTCTCTAACATGGGGATGATTGCTATGTAAACGCAAAAGTTAAGAATTTTAAATGACATTTTATTAAGAAAAATTTGTGACCATCGGTTTTGCTTAAATGCGGGGCTACCACTTTTTCACATCCATCCTTGAGATGGATATGTGATGTGTCAAGGGACACAAATGTGATTTTATGTCCCTGACGCACAAAGCACCTTTTTTTTTGTAATTATTCTAGCTTATGATCATATTATTTTGATGGATACTTTAAAATTAAATAAAAAATGATGGGTCGGAATATTAAACAGCGGTTATTTGGACAAATTTCTTTTTAAAAAGATTTATATTATTTTGAGGTATTTGGTTATTTTAAAAAATTACTATTTTATATTCGATTGAAAATGGCTCAATTTGATTTCATGTATACTAAATCGGCAAAAGTAAAAATCATACAAAAAATTAATTTATTTTGTCCAACTCCCTCTTGTTTATGACCGGGCACACAAGAGGGACTCTCTCTCTCTCTTCCAATTCATTGGTATACTCCCCTCATATATGATCATTTATATGCGTATGTGTTTAGTTATTTTATAGAGAAATTATCAAAAATATATCTTAATTTTTTTTTTGACAAGTACCTTAATTTTTTTTTAATTAGAAAAAAATCTCATACTTTTTGTAACTTTGTCCATACTATTTTTTCTTATTTTTTATGTTTATTTGACCAAAATAGTCTTAACGATAATCGTATTACCATGAAGGGATGATGCATCACGGTAATTAAAGTGTCGTGATGACTATCACAGGTTATAGATTCAAATGTAATGTCTTGCGGCATTACGGCACTTTAAGTACTATGATGACTCATGTTTCACGACACTTAAAATGTTGTTATTATATTGGATGATAATTACAGTAACAAAAATTCCGTGATGTTAAAGGACGTCATTGCGGTATTTTAAGTATTGTAATGCTAAAGAGCTTATGCCCACCCTATTCATTTAAATGTTTTCATTTAAGATTAATAAAAAAATCCTAATACAATCTTAATCAAAATCTAAAGTGAGCCCCAACAATAATTTCCCATAACACTGGTCGTTGCCAAACTCTATCATCTATTTCCTGTTTAGAAAAAGAAACATATATTTTGATCTTTTGAGTATTTATTTATTTCAAATAAATAGAATATGTATTTCTCTTGGATCGAATTCTAATTTTACCATGGAGAGGCTTTGACATTGAAAGCCATGTCAGATTACCATACCTACTGTGCAGATTTCTATCTTGGATTAAGGATGGTAAATAACTCCTATCAAAAGGATTGCACATAAGAGGAACCGACCGGACCTCAAAAGAGGCATCCTTCTTCTTACCTACAAAAGCACAGCCAAAATCAGAAGAGGAGAGACAAATGTTGAGAGGGTTCAGAAAACAGACGACAAAGTCTGGCAATGACCAGTGTTATGGTAATTATTGTTGGTGTGTAATTTAGATTTTTATCAAGGTTGTATTTGAACTTTTTATTACCCATTCAAATATTTTAAATGAGCTGAGTGGGCATGAAGCCTTTTAACATTACGGTACTTAACGTATTGTTTTAACGCCTTTTAACATCACGGTAATTTTTTTACCATAATTATCATCTAATATAATAATGCCATTTTAAGGGTCGTAAAACATGTGAGAGTACCATCACGACACTTTAAGTACCGTAATACATCAAGCCTTCACGGTAATATGACTACTGTGAATAATATTTTGATATAAAAAAAAAAAAACCAAAAAAGAGAAAAAAAAGTATAGACGAGGTTAATAAAAGTATTAAGTTTTTTTTCTAATTAGAAAAAACTTAAGGTATATTTATACTTTCCCTAAACCTAAAAAATTCTCACACCGATTTTCAATTCAGTAGTCAACATAGGAGTGAGAGGGGAAGGCAAAGAAACTGAAAGATGGGCCTACTTAATGTTCAATATCAGGTTGATGATATATTGGATTCTTTCAACCAGTGTTTAAAAAAACGCCGAGTCGAACCAGACTCGCCCGGTTCGACTCGGGAATCGCCATGGACGGATCGAATCGGTGAAAAAAACGGGAATCGTCCGATT